AACATATTATCTCTTTTTCAAAAAAAATTTCTCTTATTTATAACTAATTAACAACTTTTTATAACTTCACTAATATCTAAATATTGATAAAAACTTCAATCACCGAGAGTACCAAACTCGGTGCTCCCAGTTGACCAGCCCAATATGACCATCCCAATACCAAAAGGTCTATGCTACCTATACTTCATTTATCTAGCAATGTCAAAGCAGCCTCGACAGTACTGTTATTCCTACTCCCATGTAGTAGGCTTTTCAACGTAAGACACCCGAGTATCTTATGTTGGGGGACTCTCCTCTCCTTTCTGCCTCCCCAGGCACCCGAAATAACCTATTGGAACTCTCTATTCACATCCTCCCATGCACAGCGATTGCTATCAGCATTGCAATAGCTACAAAGTGCTTTTCCCCTGTAAGGATAAGCTACCTTGGCTCTTCTCTACAATAGTTAACTTGGCTTACTCCCTCACTGGATTGGAACCTATAAATACCCCTTCTTTACCACTAAGGACACACACAATACCACTGATTCATGAGTCCTTACTCTGTCACTTTGGAGAGCCATTCAAATTCCATCATCGGTTACATTATTCCGGGCAAAAAACATCCCTCGAAGACTGAGCTGGTCTCCACCCTAAATTATATTATTTTGGGTGAAAAATTCACCATCAAAGACTGAACCGATCTCCACCCTTAGTTATAATACCGGGATACACAACTCCCCAATATAAGTCTTAGAAGATCGAGCAGATTCCCACCCTCGGTAACGATGAAGTCTGAGCTGGTTCTCACCCTCGGCAACAACAAAGACTAGGCAGGCCACCACCCCCTGCTAAAAAAAAGTCAAAGATGACAAAATCTTCATCCAGGACACTCATACCGACTGGAAAATTACTCCCAAAGACTGGGCAAGTCTCCACCCCTAATAATCGATATGTTATCCTAAATGGAAACCCCTCATCTACACAGAGAAGGTTGAGCAGGTTCTCACCATCGGTAATAACGAAGACCGAATAGGTTCCCACTCTCGGGAACAATCGACTAGTCCAAACAACAAAAGCCAAATGTATCAAACAAACCGTGAAGACAAGCACACTGATATATTAAAGCATGGAGAAGACAAAAGTTCAAAGCAACAAATTCAAAGCAAATATAGATAAAGAAGCAAATGTTGTCAAAAAAAGATTATTCTAATACAACCCAAAGGGGTCGGCATACTGACCCATCAAATAGCAAAGTAAAAATATATACGAAGCAAAAATAGCATTCCAATCCTTCAAGCCGCTCCCCATCTTGGCCGTTAACAGTTTTAACCTTATCTTTCCTAGCATGATTTCCTCCACCTTGACTACCATTAGCTTTAACCTCGCCTTTCTCAGTATCATCCCCATTTCCTGATGAGCTATCAGGTTCCAAGATCACTTTGAAAGAATTGTCTGCAAACTTCTCCACCAAATGGTCGCTTTTCACAACATAATTGAGGTCAAGATGTTCAAAGTCTAATTTCGCAGATGGATTGCAAAATTCAATTGGGGCAATTGCATTGTTGAAAAAATCAATCAGAACCTCTACTAGTATTTTCTTATATGTTTGAAAGGTTACTTCTGTGTCCTTGTACTTCTTAATAGAATCCTCCATGCTCCTCATATTAATTATGGCAGTATACAAAACTTATTGCATTCTTTTCAACTCGGTAGTCAACTCTTGCTTGGATAAGCTTTTATTTGGCCTTCAAAAGCTCTTCAACAGTCTTCGAAAGCCCTTTATTAGCTTGTGCAAGCCTTTTAATCTTAGCTTCATGCCCTTCATTGGTCTTCTTCAAAGAGGTGTTGCTATCCTCCAGTACCTTATTATTAAATTTAAGGTCACTTACCTCCTAGCCAGACTGACCGACCCACAGGGTAAGCTCTTCAACCTTATAGTAAAGCGAAATATCTGCTAACCCCTTTCAACGCATTGACTACCACTCACTAGAGTCGCCTCCTTGATAGCCAAAACTCAAGCAACAAAACCATTAAGACTTTGGGCGATCACTTATTGAGCAGAAGAAAGGTCATCAAGAACCTTTATGTGGAGCAAACCGAGTGGCGGGATAGAAGAAAGACCTGCCTCAGTCAACCCCAATGCCTTAACCAAAGCAATGGACCCCGAAAAAAATGACTCCAGATCGGCCACAGAAGGGTCTCCGACTTCCCCCACTGTCAAGTCCAAACTCTCATTGAGAGAAAAGGCGACAACCTTAGTCTCCTTTTAGGAGGGATGAGTGACCTTGCCAACTTTGGCTTTCTTCTGAGAAAAGGGAATAATCTCCATGACTTTAGTTTTCTTCGATGAATAGAGAGTGATCTTTTCACATTTCCATTTCCTCCCAACCTCCACAACTTTGGTTTTCTTTTGGGAAGATGGAGTGGCCTATTCGCTTTTGCTCTTCCCCCCCCCACTTTGGTCTGGCACTGCCGAAGCCCTATTTCTCGAAGTCGCACGTTCCCGGTCCTAATCATCTTCAATTATAAGCGGCTTACCAGTTCTCTTGGCTAACTCACCATCAGAAAGAATTTTCTTTTTAGATTTTGGCGGAGCAAGGTCTTTGCCTTTATCATTCTTCCTCACCTCATCTTTCTTCTCCCCTGTTGGAGGAGCATACTGCACCTTATCACCACTACCCTTGATCTCCACAAAGGCTTCTCGACCGAGCTTTAGAACCTCCGACGATATACTCTCAACTGCAAAGAAAAAATCAAAGTTAAAAACAAGTATTCCAAGAAAAAAATATATCTACACCAACAGGCAACCGAGTGCTTCCAACACAACCCCTCACCTCCATAGTCAATTACCCTCTCGGTTGGCCATTTTCTTATTTCTTCCTTAATCTTGAAAAGACTGTCAGCAATATATTTTTTTGAGTTAGACAACGTATCATACCCAAATGAATAATGGCAGGGCGGTATTTCATAATGCCTCTTAGACAAAAAAAGGTTGAACCGATACTCACCATTCTCAAGACTCACATAAAAGGGCTTAGCGTCCCCTTGAAGCTCAGAGCGCACCTAAAAATAGAACTTTTTGATGTGTTTAAGCGAATTAGTATAAGTGGTAAAGGCAGTCCCCAGCCTAGCACCCGCCTTAAGAGAGATCCAAGCCCATTTTTACTATGAGTAAATACCCTTTTCGGTCCTCAACAAATTTTACGATGCCCGCTTTAGTCCCTAGCAAATAAAAAGGCTATTCGTGGTCCATAAGAAATTCAAAGTGGACCCATTTTAGTCCTTTTGAGGGACTAATATGGATCTTTTTTGAATTTGTGAGGGACCACGATTTCAACTAAATGGGTCCATTTTGAATTTCTTAGGGACCACGAATAGCCTTTTTATTTGCTAGGGACTAAAGCGGATATCGTGAAATTTAGTGAGGACCAAAAAGGGTATTTACTCTTTTACTATAAGGAGAAACTTGAAAGCAATAAAAGAAAAACCAAACATTGTAGTCCCACCGATAATATTTACACACTATCTGGAACACCCGGATAAGGCCCCAGAAGTTAGGATGAAGCTGAGAAAGCGCCACTCACAAGTGACGCAGAACCTTAACCTCAAGCTCAAAAAAAGAAACCAAACTTTGATATTGGTAAAATAGCTCTTATACATAAAGAAATGGTACGAGGCTATACCTTTCTCCCTCGGGCGGTCACAAACCCGGCCGATTCTTGAACATAACTTAACCTCCACTGATCCTCATGTGCTCCTCCTTCAGTGAGGTTAAACTTTCCCTCAGTTTTATACGCCTCCCCCAAAACCAAACAATTTGAATAATATGATACATTGACAAGACATCTGCATCAATCCAACTCATTGCTAATAAACGCTCCAGTAACAGATTACTTGCCATATATGTTAAGTAGCAAAAAACTGTCAGATAGACAAACTTGGGAGGAGGAAGAGAAAGAAGACCAGACTCGCCTTTGGAACCCCTACGACTCAATTAATTGACTCTAGCCAACCACTGATGACTCTATTTTACCCCGAAGTTTTACTCTAGCCAACCAAGCTCTTCACGAGCAGACCCGCCAATGATTCGACCTTTAGAGTGCCCAGGACAGCCACTAGAGCAACTAGATCCACCAGCTTCACCAAGATAAGGAACCACAGCACCCAAACTCATTGACGACATAATTTGGTGAATCTCCTCTTCGGAGAAACCCAACAGCTCTGGAATTCTACTATAAGGTAGAAACTATACCCCAGGCACCGAAGCGCCACTAATAATCGCACAAGACTTATCCTCTCCATGGTGAGCAAGTAGCTCGCATATCGTGTCCCCAATACATACATCATCAAGAGCAACAGAGTCAAAATCAAACTCCTCCACTTTGGTTTTTACCTCCAACTTCTTCATTTCTTCCACTGACAATTCCTTCATTTTTACCATTTTAAACAACAACTCAAGCGATTCATATACAACAAAAGACTCAACCCAAAACCTAATCACAAGCAATAGCAAAAAAAATAATCCAAGAAACAAAGAAAAACAACACTAGCACCAAAACAAAAAGTATATCTGTTTGTAAGAACAAAGACTTAATGAAGAAAAACTCAAAAAATTCCCCTCACAAAAAGCAAAGCCAACCTAAGTTTTAGCTGAAGTAGGAAGATAAAGCAGAAAACTGAAAGACAAAGAATGGCTTAAACATATAAGAAGAGAAAATGAGCTTCAGAAGAATAGAAAAAGCGTGAAGACTGAAGGTTCAAGATATTGCTGGTAGTTCGAAGGTCCAGAGTATGAAGGTAAATGTTTTGAAACAATAAAATGACGGAGGAGAATCCTTTAAATAGAATTCAAAATAGCCACACCAAGAAGTTGGATCAAAGCAACTGTTTGAATTACACTACAAGAAAAGGTGTATTTTGCGACTGAATATCAACGACGGTTAGAGTCAAACCGTCGCAGAATACATTATCACGACTACGACGCTGTAATGAACCGTCGTTGAATGCAAGAATTCTACGATGGATATCAGAGACGGTTTGTAACCGCCTCAGAATATATCATTTCACGACGGTTACAACCGACCCAGAATATAAAATTTCACGACGGTCATCTAACCGACTCAGTATATACAATTTCACGACCATTACCCTAACCGACTCAGAATATAACATTTCAAATGGAAGTTAAAAAGATTTGAACACAAAACGCATTGGAGGAACTAAATGACAACAACCACTAGGTCATTGAATTCCTTATAATATATTATTATTATTAATATATGTGCCCCAATATGGAGGCTGGAACAATTGGAATGATGAAAACTTAATTGATATAGTGGAATTTGGAGATCAAACCGAAGATTTCACATATTTGATCGAAAAATCAATCTAACTTTATTTTGTACTGCTCGCTCGCTCAATGGAAAAATGGGTTAGGTTCTACAGGATGAAACGTGTAGGACTTAGAGACAATGATGTGATTATAAGGAGTAATAATTGATCATGGGTTTCAATTTTGGGAGTTTCATGTATAAGAAACGCTAGTTGACAATTATTCATGTAGTAGGGAGATTACAAAAGAGGTGGACACAATGAATAATAACTACACGTGTATAATGGCAAGAAAGAGGTTGGGATCAGTTAGAACACAATAAGGAACAGTGACCTAAATGCCACTGTTTCCCAACTTTTTCCCCCCCTAAATGCCACTCGAATAGTATTATTTTCCAATATGCCACGCTTTGAAGTTCGCTACCACTGATAGCGAACTTGGTAGCCAATAATTTCTTGACACGTGGCATACTTTCGCAGGAAAAGATGACTGCCGCAAGTCCAAGTTCGCTACGACTGGTAGCGAATTTGGTAGCCAATGATTTTGTGACACGTGGCACATTGTTGCAGAAAAAGTTGACTGAACGAAGTTCGCTACCTGGGGTAGCGAACTTCGTGGGCTACGTGGCACAATCTCGTTGCCCAATCAGAATTATTGTACCAATCACAATCAAAAAAAGAAAACGAAGAAAAATAACTATTTAATTAATGTACTAATCACAATTAATGTATCAATCATCAATCACAATTAATGTATCAATCACCGATCACGATTAATTTTGATCACGATTAATGTACCAATCACCAATCACAATTAATGTATCAATCACCGATCACTATTAATTTTGATCACAATTAATGTACCAATCACCAATCACAATTAATGTATCAATTACCAATCACAATTAATGTATCAATCACCGATTACGATTAATTTTGATCACAATTAATGTACCAATCACGAATCACAATTAATGTACCACACAAAAACACTTAATTGCATAAGCACTTAATTGCATACCGTTTTTCTCCATCAATTGCATAAGCACCTCATCACAATCCACACGTAGGTTCTTCCCACCATTACCATTTATCATTACCTTCTAACCAAGCACCTTGATCTTATTCAGTTTGTAAAGATAATTCTCATCCCTTATGTTACAATAGTCATGATAATGTCAACATCAGTTGGCAATGCTAATTCCCATAACAAAGTCTTAGGTTTAAATCCTGTGAATGTAAAAAATTCTCTTTAGGAGAGCTAGCTCCACGCCACCATGATGTGGATATTCCTGCTCGAATAAGATTGCCTCCCATGGAGGATCCTGTGATTTGTCCAGAAAAAAAAAGCACACACAATGGAATGCTTAAAGAAATTATAAACACGATAGAAATTATAATTAAAGTCTTAGGTTAAAGAAATTATATTTAATATTTATAAATAAAAGAAATTGTAATAAATACTATAAATAATATTTATAGCATTTTTCATTTTTATACATGTCATCTACTTTGGTGGAATCAATCAACGCAGGTATAGAATAATTGCAGCTAGCTAGAACATGATAGAAAAGAAAATTAGGACAAGAGAAAGATAAATGAAGAGGAAGACCGGTTGTGTTGAACTTGTTACCAATAGGTTGGAACTTGTTACTAATAATATGTATTTCTCGTAATAATCCACTTTATGCAAAATCCTTATTTATAAAATGTAAGCCAAACATACTTTTTAATTTATTTTAATGCTATTAACTAATAAGTTACTTAATTGTTTTATGTTTAATGTAGGAAATTGCTAAAAAGAATACTGCCAACAGGGCAAAGCTAACAATTCCTCACACTTTAGGCTCAAAGTCTATTGCAAGAAGAAAAAGAGAGCTAGTACATATTTTTATTTTTATTTTGTATGATTATGTGATTCTATGGTTCTTGTTAAGTAAAAATACCTTTTTTGGTTATATAACTCATTAAGTACAGTGATTTGCATTCACTATTTTTCTACTTGGTTTCAATTACTCATCTTTATGTGTATGGTTTGGTTTAAATGATGGATGACACTCAAGTTTGGTTGAGGAACATGGTAATCTGCATTTGATGAATTATAGTAGTTTCTACGGGATACACTTAATAGATAACTTGTTATTTTTTGATAGAGATGCAATTGGTAATTCTGGTTCCCAATTTTTGGGCTTATTCTTGATATTCTGTAAACATTAATTTCATGCTTTGCTTGTTTATTGTTTTGGAGTTATCATTGAGCATCTCGTGGTGTATCTTGTGTGATAGGCATTGTGTAAATTGTTTTGTTCTTAATTTTTGCTTGCTGTCCAACTCTGTATTGCTATTAGTACTTGGTTTATCATACAGAGTCTTGGTAAATAATTTTTGTTGGTTATTTTATTGTTTTAGGAAATTGAAAAAGGTAAGCCTATCAGTAGAGCGGAAATGTATGCCTATGGGCAAAAGAAAAAAGATGGTACATTTGTGAATGAAAAGGCTAGGGAGAAAAATGTAGGTGGAATATAGTTGTTTACTTGTATTCCTATATGACAATGTTACTGAATTTAAATTGGTTGTTGGATCAGATTTTGTAGGATTTGTTAATAGCTTCACAAAATGATGGAACTTTATCCGAACAAGATGCTGGCAAAAAAATTAATTGAATGCTTTTTAATAAATTAATTACGCATTTATTACAGTTTTGAAAATAATTACATATTTATTGCACAATATGACGCCCAATTTGGGCGTCACTAAAGACCTAAATTGGGCGTCACTCAAGAGAAAATCACGCATAATTTAGACGTCATTCATCAGGTGTTGACATGTATCGTATTTTTTTTCCCAAAAATAATAATAATTTAATCATAAAACTTCTGAAAGCCATAACTTTTGACTCAGGTATCCAAATCAGGTAATTCTTTTTTTGATTCCACATAACTTTTCGAGATCTACGCAATGACATCTCATTTGATATATTTTATTTCTCACAATCATAATTTAAATTTAAGTCAGGTAATTCTTCTTCCTTAGAGATTTAGAATATTAATTTAATTATTTCCTTTATTAATACATATGTTTCAAATTGATTTTTGAGTTTAAATCACAAATCAAATCTTTATTTTGTTTTCCTTAATAATAATAATTGTTATTTTTTTAATTTAAATCACACATCAAATCTTGATTTATTTTTTATATTAAATCACAAACCCAGAACACAGAGGCTTCTGAGTTTAAAAATGTGACACGTGTCAACACTTGACAATGGATTTCAATCAAGAGGCAATCACGTCTAATTTAGGTAATTTTATTTTTAAAAAACATTCATAAGCCATAATTAATTTCAGACTACAAATAATAACCCAGAAGCTTATAACATTAATCATTAATTTCAAAAATAATATCCTTCTTCCTTAGAGATTTAGAATATTTATTTAATTATTTCCTTTATTTCTACAGATTTTTTAAATTGATTTTTTTAGTTTAAATCACAAATCAAATCTTTATTTTGTTTTCCTTATTAATAATAATTGTTATTTTTTTAATTTAAATCATATATCAAATCTTGATTTATTTTTTATATTAAATCACAAACCCAGAACACAGAGGTTTCTGAGTTAAAAATGTGACACGGGTAAACAGGTGTCAACACCTGACACGTCACCAACGACGTCTAAATTGAGTTTCAATCAAAAGGCAATTATACCTAATTTAGGTAATTTTATTTTTGAAAAACATTCATAAGCCATAAGAAAAATTATTATAAAAAAAATGTAAATCACAAATCAAAATTTTATTTATTTTTTTATATTAAATCACAAATTCAAAACTCAGAGGCTTTTGGGTTAACCGCTCTTATAATACCATTCTTGCAAATTTAAATTGTGTTTGTGAGAAATAAAATATGTCAAATGAAATGTCATTGCGTAGATCTCGAAAAGTTATGTGAAATCAGAAAAAAAATTATCTGATTTGGATACCCGAGTCCAAAGTTATGGCCTTAAGAAGTTTTATGATTAAATTATTATTTTTTTGAAAAAAAATATGACACGTGTCAACACATGATGAATGACGCCTAAATTAGGCATGATTGCCTCTTGAGTGACGCCCAATTTAGGCGTCTTTAGTGACGCTCAAATTGGGCGTCATATTGTGCAATAAATGTGTAATTATTTTCAAAACTGTAATAAATACGTAATTAATTTATTAAAAAGCATTAACTTAATTTTTTTTCCACAAGATGCTTTTGTTGAGGTGTTTGGGAAGGAGCACCCTGGACGTGTACGGTGTATGGGATTTGGGGTCTGCCGTTACCAAGTTTTTAAACGTGGTTCTAGTTCTGGGGCATCTTCCTCAGCATCTACAGACAATGAAATTAGAGAGTTGAAATCTAAGGTTCAATCTTTAGAGGAAGCATTGGCTTTTGTGGTACGTAGCTTTGGGGGTCAAATGCCCCCTGGTTTTGCATCAAATGGATTGCAACAGGTATATAATACTTTTACCAAAATTTTCTTATGTTTTCTGTTTGAGATGATGATTGGAACTTGTTTTAGTCATGTATTTTAAATTGTATAATATGACTGCAAGGACAGAATACCCTCTTTTGCTTATATCATATTATATTTTATTTACTCTAGGTTCGATATGATGTGTACCTGTGAGATGATTATTGCTATTGTCACTATCAACATATAGTACATATGATTACTGAATAATTTGTGCTCTTGTCGCTGCTTTATTAGCATACATATTTACAAGGATGAACAATTTTTTTGGATAATAGTTTTGGTTGGTATAATTATATATAAATCTTAGTAGTTATGGTTCATCGAGACACTTATTAATTGGACAAAAACAATTTTTTAAGTAAAGGCTTTTAAATTATTTTTCAGTACCCAATATGATTGAGACTTATATTTGAGCTCTGTTTTTTTTTTTTTTGCAGCCTCAAGATTTAGGCTCTCCCAATGGATTCAGGCCATCCTCTTCTGCTAGTCATGTACCAAATGCATAAGGACCTGAACTTCAAGGACACCCATCTCCTCTATAGTTCTCCTTTTTATATATATTTTTTTGTTTTCCAGAACAATATCAGGGTGATTACTTTTTGATGGATAGCTTTGGTGATTACTTTTTGATAGATAGCTTTTGGTGATTACTTTTTGATGGATAGCTTTTGTATTTTGGTGTATATCACAATGTCAGGGTGATTGAATGTCTTTTTGGTGTTATGACAATGATACTTTAAGTAACAATTACATTTCCCCTCTATATTTGATGTTTTAAATTATTAGAATTCAGTGCAAATGGTTAGATGGTTATTTTTAGAACAGTTTACTGTTCTAACTTTAATTATGGATGAAAAGCCTTGATATTTTTAATTTATTTATATAATTATTATAATATTTGTAATACCCTATATTTTCTTTTAATAAAATAATAATAATAATAAATATTTTTGGATAATAATGATATTTAGTATTTTTGTAATTAATAAAATTGGTATTTAATATTTTTAATTATTGAGTTAATAATAGTTAAAATAATAAGAGGTAAGATAATAATAGTAATATTATTTGATTTATGTGATATATATATATATATATATATATATATATATATATATATATATATATTAGATGATAAATTATGATTAATTGATTTATTAATTGATTGATGATTTATGTATTTATGTTTGATTAGTAATGATTGATTAGTAAATTGTTTAGATATGATGAGTCAACAAACATAAATTGTTTAGATATGATGAGTCAACAAACATATATTGTTTAGATATGATGAGTCAATAAACATAAATTGTTTAGATATGATGAGTCAACAAACATATATTGTTTAGATATCATGAGTCAGCATTGAGTCAATAATGTATAAGCCCTAAACTTCAACTATAAATAGAGACCTAGCTTAACCAAACCAATTCACTCTCCTCTACTACTCTCTCTCTTCTCAAAAAGTTTATTTCTCACTCCAAAAAGCTTATTTTAATTATTTTCAATCTTTATATTTTTTTTTATCAACCGGTTCTCTATCCCAAATTACTCTTTTCTTCTAGAAGTTAGCGCGGAGACCAGGTAATCCTAATCTCTAGGTGGTTGTAGATTTGTTGTGTATAAAATTTTATTGGGTGTGTCCTAATCTTTAGGTATTTATATGTTCGATATATGTAATCCTAATCCTTAGGTTATAATTTTGTTTGAAGTTTATTAATAGTAATCCTAATCCCTAGAGAGTCATAGATTATATTGATATGAATTTTGGTATATGTAATCTAATTCATAGGTTATTTCTTTTATATAAAACTTGGATGTAATCCTAATCCCTAGGTATTTTTAGATTATATTTTATGTAAAATTTGGTATACGTAATGCTCTAGGTGAATGTAAGATAGTTTTATATTAAATTTGTTGAATGTCATCTTAATCCTTAGAAAATTTTAGGATATTTTCATATATTATATGTAACCCTTAGGGGTATTTAAATTAAATTATTTTAATCTCTAGAAATTAATTGGATTAATTATTGGATTTTGGCTTTACTCTAATAGATGTGAATATTTGAATTATGATGAGGATCGGATTTGGATTTTACTGTGATGAATGTTGAAGATTTGAATTATCATATCCTTGAATAAATTGGAAAGTTATGATGATGATCAGATTTGGATTTTACTGTGATGACTGTTGAAGATTTGAATTATCATATCCTTGAATAAATTGGAAAGTTATGATGATGATCAGATTTGGATTTTACTGTGATGACTGTTGAAGATTTGAATTATCATATCCTTGAATAAATTGGAAAGTTATTATGATGATCGGATTTGGATTTTACTATGATAGATGTTGAAGATTTGAATTGTTATATAAATTCGAGAATTTATGATAATAGTTGTTTGAATTATGATACTTTGGAAAATTATAATGCCCTTGAGTAACTCATTTAGAGATGATAATACTTAAAGAATAAATAATTATGATTGAATCTTTTCTGATTGTGTGTGTTTGTAATAAATTAATGGTGGGAGGATAGCTTTGGGATGGTACCTCCCAAGGTGATGAACACAACTTTTGGGCTTTGTGCCTCCGATGTGAAACTGATGTGAAAAAGATTATATCCGTTCTTTCCAAAGTGGTGTCTGGCAGGGTTTCCCGGGATACTAGTAGCAACTTTGAGAAGAGGTGTGCACACTAGGAAGATGTGAATTGATTATGGCCAATTTTGATTATACGTGGCTGGTAACAGTGGTTTTTTCCCGGGTCACGGGGTAGACTGGCAGGGTTTCCCGGGTCTACCATGGTTCTCTTCCCACTAAATATAATGAACTTAAACATTATTAATAATGAAATTTGTTATTTGATTTGATTATGAAGAATGTCATTGAGTTGTGAATATTATCATATTATGACTAATGTTGTGCTAAATATATTAGTTGATAATTACCAAATACATTACATGAACTTAATAAAGATAAATATTATATAATGGAATTTTGATTATTATATTGATATTTGATTTGATTAATGTGGAATTGATTTGAACACTATTTGACATTTGATTTAATTTGTTATTACTCACATTAATTGTATTTTGATTAGGATTACCAGCTTTGCTGACTTTTGTGTTTGTTTAACTGCAATGATCCTTCACGGGGGAGCAGATTTTCAGTGAAGCATGTTGCAAAGGATGGGGCTAGCTGTGGGCAGTAAGGATCACAACTCGGATATTTCTAGCTGTCATAAATATTATGTATAAAAAAAAATTGGAGTCTTAGATTTTTATTTCAGCTAGTTTCTAAGTTTAGAAATTTATGAGATTTAAATAAATGCATATGACATATTTCCTTTATTTAAACTTTTGTCTTTGGTTTTATTTTAATCTAATAGAGTTAGCCTTGCACTTGTCCCTGTACAGGTGCGGCAGTAACACTTTCCAAATTCGATTATTTTGAACTTCTGCTGTTATTTATAAAATTATTGAATTTATTTATGCTATTATAAATTGTTAGAATTTGGGGTGTTACAATATTGGATTATAAAAGATTGATTTTTAATTCAATTTTCCATTTTTAGCAATTAAACATATATTGTCATTCCTAATATATATATATTTATATAATTGTATTTAAAAAATAAATGTTAATTTTAATTTTTTTTTGGTAAATATTAATTTTAAAATTGTTAATTTATCAGCTTAAATGATATTCAATGTTTAAATTTCTGAAAATAAATTATTAATATTTATTTGAAAACGTTTTGTAACAGTAAATATTCCATTATTTACCTAAAAAAATAGTGTATTATTTTATTATAAAATTATTAAAATATAAAATATATTAAATTTTATTTATTATTCCACGACGGTTACGAACCGCCTTCGTATATGTATCACAACAAATATGAGGCATTTGAATTGTTATTCCACGACTGTTACGAACCGCCTTTGAATTGTTATTCCACGACTGTTACCAAACAGCCTTGGAATCCTTATTCCATGTCTGTTACCTAACCGCCTTGGAATTGTTATTCGACGATTGTTTATTAACCGCCTTTGAATTGTTATTCCACGACTGTTTCCTAACCGCCTTGAAATTCTTATTCTACGACCGTTTAGTAACCGCCTTGGAATTATTATTGCACGACCGTTTACTAACCGCCTTGGAATTATTATTCCACGACGGTTGTACAAATGACGTCAATTTGAATTCCACGATCATTTGCGAACCGTCTTTGAATATTCATAAATTTCTTTAAAGGATATGCTATGGCAGTGATAACCCGTCGTTGATTTCCCCGTCGATGGTTATTCTAGCGGTTCAGTGAAATCGTCGTTGAATTGCCTCTCGACGATAGTAACTATGACGGTTGGTTAACAGCCAAAACGCGCATTTGGAGGCGGTTTAAACCGTCGTTAAATGACCTATGAACTGCCTCTGTATACCTCTTTTGTTGTAGTGTTAACAGATCATATGATAGGTAATTTTGTAATTTCACCAATGGCAAGACAACTCTTACATTACCACGTCGCATTAAACGTGCAACATCTTGTCGCATTAAATGCGCAACTTCTTGTCGCATTTATTGCTTGCACAACAAAAGAAAAACTGTAACATCTATAATAATCTTAATATGTGAATTTTGAATTATGAAATAATTATGGTAGTTAATTATGAGATTGTGAAATGATTAAGGATTTAATCACGATGCATGTGAGATTATTAGATGGAATGTCTAATTTTAAATAATAAAGTCACTTTGGGCATAAAGACATTTAGTGAGAGTTTTGGGATAAAATGATAATTAGGCAAAAATTATGAAAACTTGGAAATAATGTGGTGAGTCATTATTTAATGGCCTAAGTGAAGGTTGAAATTGTTATGAAATGATTAAGTTGTGAAATTAGAAGTTAATTGGTGATGAGGACATAGAAGGAATACAGTGGGTTGTTGCTTTATGCTTTATTAAAGTTAAAACGTTGTAACTTAGATATTTTGAAGCCAAAGCTCATCTTATTCGTTCTTCCTACGTGAAAATCGAGAAACCATTTGTGAGAAGCTTCAAAACTCAACTCTCTCAATACTCCATGAAATCACTTAATGTAAAAAGCAAATGTGCATAGAAACTAGAGGAGAACAAAATCTATAATTCACAATCCTTAGAAAACCTTTATGTTGAAAGATTCTCCACCATGATAGTGGCGCCCCCTTCTTGAGTGAGAATCTTAGTGAGGTGCATTGCTTGAAGTGAAGGTTGGAGAACACTCCTTGATTGATTCTAAGAACATCCATGGTAAGAAATCCCCAGTTCATCAAGTTTCATGGAAGTTCATATTTTTAGGTTTTCATTTGGAAATGTAGCTTGGATGAGGTGGTTGGAGTATGAATTAGGCTTAACTCATGTTGCAAAGAACGCTTGGATGATGATTTTAATGGTGAAAAATGTGTTTAGAAATCCACTTGGGTTTCTCAATCTTTTTCCATTTTTTCTGTTGGAACTGAATAAGGGGAGGTTACCCTAAATCTGTTTGGATGAATTCTACTACTGTAATTATTGGTGAGACAATTAGAGTGATCCTAAGTGCTTAGGTTGAGTGTGATCAAGGTGTAGTCATAGACTCGTGAAATTCCAGTTGTAAAAAGGTTTCTTCAAGCACCTGTTGGAAGCTTGATGATAGTGAAATGATTGACCTCAGT